AAATTGGCAACGCCGTCAGCCATTCCGTGCCTCACTTTAACGTGCCCACATTTTGCCATCCTGTGGGCACAGTAATTAAATTGGAAACGCCCTCAGCCATACCTTGCCTCACTATACCCTGCCCCAGTTATGCCATCCCGTGGGCAGAGTAATTAAATTAGCAACACCCTCAGCCACACCTTGCCCCATTATACGCTGCCCCAGTTTTGCATTCCCGTGGGCGGAGTAATTAAATTGGCAACGCCGTCAGCCATTCCGTGCCTCACTTTAACGTGCCCACGTTTTGCCATCCCGTGGGCACAGTAGTTAAATTGGAAACGCCCTCAGCCATACCTTGCCTCACTATACCCTGCCCCAGTTTTGCCATCCCGTGGGCAGAGTAATTAAATTAGCAACACCCTCAGCCTCACCTTGGCCCACTATACCCTGCCCCAGTTTTGCCATCACGTGGACAGAGTAGTTAAATTATCCACGCCCTCAGCCATGCCTTGCCTCGCATTACCATGCCCCAGTTTTGCCATCCCGTGGTCAGAGTAGTTCAATGAGCAACGCTCTCAGCCAAACCTTGCTTCGTTATACACTGCCCCAGTTTTGCCACCCCATGGGCAGATTTGTATCAATAGCAACGACCTCAGCCATACCATGCCTCACTATACCCTGCCCCAGTTTTGCCACCCCGTGAGCAGAGCAGTTAAATTAGCAGCGCCCTCAGCCATACCTTGCCTCACTATACCCTGCCCCAGTTTTGCCATCCCGTGGTCAGAGTAATTAAATTAGCAACGCCCTCAGCCATACCTTGCCTCACATTACCCTGCCCCAGTTTTGCCATCCCTTGGTCAGAGTAGTTCAATGAGCAACGCTCTCAGCCATACTTTGCTTCGTTATACACTGCCCCAGTTTTGCCACTCCATGGGCAGATTTGTTACAATAGCAACGCCCTCAGCCATACCATGCCTCACTATACTATACCCTGCCCCAGTTTGCCAGCCTGTGGGTAGATTTGTTAAAATAGCAGCGCCCTCGCTATACCGTGCAGCACCAACTCTGCCTCACTATACCGTGCCGCAGTTTTGCCATCCCGTGTCAGAGTAGTTCAATGAGCAACGATCTCAGCCATACCTTGCTTCGTTATACACTGCCCCAGTTTTGCCACACCGTGGGCACATTTGTTACAAAAGCAACGACCTCAGCCATACCATGCCTCACTATACCCAGCCCCAGTTTTGCCATCCCGTGGGCAGAGCAGTTATATTAGCAACGCCCTCAGCCATACCTTGCCTCACTATACTCTGCCCCAGTTTTGCCATCCTGTGGGCAGAGTAATTAAATTAGCAACGCCCTCAGCCATTCCGTGCCTCACTTTAACGTGCCCACGTTTTGCCATCCCTTGGGCACCGTAGTTAAATTGGAAACGATTTCAGCCATACCTTGCTTCACTATACCCTGCACCAGTTTTGCCATCCTGTGGGCAGAGTAATTAAATTGGCATCGCCCTCAGCCATACCATGCCTCACCTTATCCTGCCCCAGTTTTGCCATCCCTGGACAGAGTAGTTAAACTAGCCACGCCCTCAGCCATACCTTGCTTCGTAATACACTGCCCCAGTTTTGCCACTCCTTGGGCAGATTTGTTACATTAGCAACGCCCTCAGCCATACCATGCCTCACTATACCCTGCCCCACTTTTGCCATCCCGTGGGCAGGGCAGTTAAATTAACAACGCCCTCAGCCATACCTTGCCTCACTTTCTGCCCCAGTTTTGCAACCCCGTGGGTAGATTTTTTACAAAAGCAACGACCTCAGCCATACCATGCCTCTCTATACCCAGCCCCAGTTTTGCCATCCCGTGGGCAGAGCAGTTAAATTAGCAACGCCCTCAGCCATACCTTGCCTCACTATACTCTGCCCCAATTTTGCCATCCTGTGGGCAGAGTAATTAAATTAGCAACGCCCTCAGCCATTCCGTGCCTCACTTTAACTTGCCCACGTTTTGCCATCTCTTGGGCACCGTAGTTAAATTGGAAACGCCCTCAGCCATACCTTGCATCACTATACCCTGTCCAGGTTTTGCCATCCCGTAGGCAGAGTAATTAAATTAGCAGCGCCCTCAGCCATACCCTGCCTCACATTATCCTGCCCCAGTTTTGCCATCCCGTGGTCAGAGAAGTTCAATGAGCAACGCTCTCAGCCATACCTTGCTTCGTTATACACTGCCCCAGTTTTGCCACTCCATGGGCAGATTTGTTACATTAGCAACGCCCTCAGCCATACCATGCCTCACTATACCCTGCCCCACTTTTGCCATCCCGTGGGCAGGGCAGTTAAATTAACAACGCCCTCAGCCATACCTTGCCTCACTATTTTCTGCCCCAGTTTTGCAACCCCGTGGGCAGATTTATTACAATAGCAGCGCCCTCACTATACCGTGCCGCACCAACCTTGCCTCACTATACCGTGCCGCAGTTTTGCCATCCCGTGGGCAGAGAAGTTAAATTAGCAACGCCATCAGCCATAACTTGCCTCATTATACGTTGTCCCAGTTTTGCCATCCCGTGGGCAGAATAGTTAATTTAGCAACGCCCTCAGCCATACCTTGTCTCACTATACCCTGCCCCGGTTTTGCCACACCGTGGGCAGAGTAGTTAATTAGCAACGCCCTCAGGCATACCGTGCCTCACTATACCCTGCCCCAGTTTTGCCATCCCGTGGACAGTGTAAGGAGAGAATTGGAACAACGTTTTTAGAAACGCCTTTAATGCACAGATACACACATTAAGACGAAATTTAGCGCATGCAAAATAAGCTTTCGCAAAATAATTTTGCCCCAGTTTTGCCATCCTGTTGGCAGAGTAGTTAAATTAGCAACGCCCTCAGCTATACCTTACCTCAAAAGACCGTGCCCCAGTTTTGCAATACGGTCGGCAGAGTAGTTAAATTAGCAACGCCCTCAGCCATTCCGTGCCTCACTTTAACGTGTTCACGTTTTGCCATCCCGTGGGCACAGTAGTTAAATTGGAAACGATTTGAGCCATACCTTGCTTCACTATACCCTGCACCAGTTTTGCCATCCCGTGGGCAGAGTAATTAAATTGGCATCGCCCTCAGCCATACCTTGCCTCACTTTATCCTGCCCCAGTTTTGCCATCCCTGGACAGAGTAGTTAAATTAGCCAGGCCCTCAGCCATACCTTGCCTCACTTTACCCTGCCCCAGTTTTGCCATCCCGTGGTCAGAGTAGTTCAATTAGCAACGCTCTCAGCCATACCTTGCTTCGTTATACCCTGCCCCATTTTCGCCATCCCGTGGGCAGAATAGTTGAATTAGCAACGCCCTCAGGCATACCGTGCCTCACTATACCCTGCCCTAGTTTTGCCATCCCGTGGACAGTGTAAGGAGAGAATTGGAACAACGTTTTTAGAAACGCCTTTAATGCACAGATACACACATTAAGACGAAATTTAGCGCAAGCAAAATAAGCTTTCGCAAAATAATTTTGCCCCAGTTTTGCCATCCTGTTGGCAGAGTAGTTAAACTAGCAACGCCCTCAGCTATACCTTACCTCACAATACCGTGCCCCAGTTTTGCATACCGTCGGCAGAGTAGTTAAATTAGCAAGGCCCTCAGCCATTCCGTGCCTCACTTTAACGTGCCCACGTTTTGCCATCCCGTGGGCACAGTAGTTAAATTGGAAACGCCCTCAGCAATACCTTGCTTCACTATATCCTGCACCAGTTTTGCCATCCCCTGGACAGAGTAGTTAAATTAGCCACGCCCTCAGTCATACCTTGCCTCACTATACCCTGCCCCAGTTTTGCAACCCCGTGGGCAGATTTGTTACAATAGCAGCGCCATCACTATACCGTGCCGCACCAACCTTGCCTCACTATACCGTGCCGCAGTTTTGCCATCCCGTGGGCAGAGAAGTTAAATTAGCAACGCGATCAGCCATAACTTGCCTCATTATACGGTGTCCCAATTTTGGCATCCCGTGGGCAGAATAGTTAATTTAGCAACGCCCTCAGCCATACCATGCCTCACGATATCGTGTCCCAGCTTTGCATCCTGTGGGAAGAGTAGTTAAATTAGCAACGTCCTCAGCCAAACCTTGCCTCGCTATACCCTGCCCCACTTTTTGCAAATCATGTGGGCAGAGTAGTCAAATTAGCAACGCCCTCAGCCATATCTTGCCTCACTAAATCGTGCCTCAATTTCGCCATCCCGAGGGCAGGGTAGCTGAATTAGCAATGCCCTCAGCCATACCTTGTCTCACTATACTCTGCCCCAGTTTTGCAACCCCGTGGGCAGATTTATTACAATAGCAGCGCCCTCACTATACCGTGCCGCACCAACCTTGCCTCACTATACCGTGCGACAGTTTTGCCATCCAGTGGGCAGAGAAATTGAATTAGAAACGCCCTCAGGCATACCTTGCCTCACTATATCCTGCCCCAGTTTTGTTATCCCGTGGACAGTGTAAAGAGAGAATTGGAACAACGATTTTAGAAACGCCTCTAATGCACAGATACACACATTAAGACGAAATTTAGCGCATGCAAAATAAGCTTTCGCAAAATAATTTTGCCCCAGTTTTGCCATCCTGTTGGCAGAGTAGTTAAGCTAGCAACACCCTCAGCTATACCTTACCTCACAAGACCGTGCCCCAGTTTTGCAATCCCGTGGGTGGAGTAGTTAAATTAGCAACGCCCTCAGCCATTCCGTGCCTCACTATACCCTGCCCCAGTTTTGCCATCCCATGGACAGTGTAAGGAAAGAATTGGAACAACTTTTTTAGAAACGCTTTCAAAGCTCAGATACACAAATTAACACACAGTTTAGCGCATCCAAAATAAGTTTTGTCGAAATAGTTTTGCCAAAATATGTCCCATTTTTGAATGAATTTTTGTTTTTTCGAATCAAGATTTGTTTTTTTTTCATGAGAACTATTAATAAACAAGTGAAATTTCTGCAAAACTTTCAACAGCCCTGGTTAAACCACTTCCACAGGAGCCAAGAATCGTCACCAAGGGTCCCTCGTTCAATTGATCCGAAAGACACATTTGGATCACTCTTTTCTCGTCTACTGGTGTACGAAGCTTAAGCAAAGCTAAGTCGTAATTAGGAGCCCAGTTATAAACACGAAAGCTAAAAAATGTGTAACTGGGTGTATTATCAGGAAATTGAAAAGTTTTGATAGTTTTTTTGTTATGTACTTTCAACTAATATGAAGTGACGAAAGAACCTGCTAAAGCTTTTCCTCGCAGATCAAAATATTTCTATGATAAATTCGAAAAACAACATTCCTCATAGCCAACAGTATGTCAAGAAAAACTTCAGCGAGCTCAAAACTTTTGAAGAAAAAGTCTCAGAATCTCCTATGATTGACAATTTTTACAAAAAAATAATGAAACTGAATGAAACTAGGTCAATGGGTCTTTTTCAATTACAAAACTCAAAATCAATTCATCCAACACGCAAAAATTGTCAAGATAAAAAATACTACAATGCTATAATGGTCACGCGGGTTAGAACAGCCTGTCGAAACTTCGAGCCGGGAGTTTCTTGCCTCATTTACAAGAATCCTGATTGTTGACTTGAAAATAGCAGTCACGCTGGTATGATTGTATGCTAATTTGCCCGGCCAGATAAAACTTTTGGCGAACGCTTTGGATATGTTTTAGTTTTATAAATCCCACAAACTTCATTGGTGGATTCAAGGATAGCAAGCATAGTCGGTTAACGGGCAGAGAGCACATAATGTACTCGAAAACGACATGTAATGACACTTAATGTACTCTTAAGAAAACGACAAAAAGCTTTCAAGTGTGTTTTTTCTTCTACTGCATGGTAAGATAACAGGATCTGAACAAGAAACTAGAGCTTAGGCATATTTGACATTCATAAGCAAACGTTCAACAAAAAGTTATGCAAACTGGACAAAAGTCTTTGTGGAAAAAATACAAGAAAAAATTCCAAAAGGTTTTGAACTTTTTTGCAGTTTTTGAGTTTTTGAAATTCTTGATTCCGACAAATTTAACTTTACTCGAGCTAAAGTAAATTTCCACGATTAAAAAAAGCTTTTAAAGCTTTTAAGCTATTAAACTAAAATTTGGAAAGTCTGCTAGCTCGCTTTTTGCTCGATTTAAGACTAAAACATTTTCTGAAAAACATCTCAGTATCGAGAAAAACTATTTGAAATTGTTTGAATTTTAGTCTTAAAAAGAGAGAGGAAAGCGAGCGAGCAGGCTTAGTATAAAAGCTTAATAGCTTACAGTAGCTTTATTTTAGCTGTAGAGTGAAATTAGTTTTGTCGGTATCAAAAACTTTGAAAATTCAGAAAACTGCAAGAAAGTTCAAAAAAGGTTTTGAATTTTTTTCAAACTTCTTTGTTTTTCTAGACATTTTCCTTTAACCTTTTTTTGCCAAAAATGCGTTTTTTTTAAATTGAAAAATGTTTTCCTTTTTTAAACAAGCTTCACGAATTTCGAAGCGTATCAAATTTTTTAGCAGCATGTATCAACTGAGCAAGGCACTAACTTATATTTCATTAAAAATCTTCTGAGTTAAGACCGATGTGTTTAACTCATAGAGTAATTTCGGATGGGGTTCACCGTCTGCTCGTCACGCTATCTTATTTTCGGCCGGATAGATTCGTGCAACTTCTTAGTCTAATACCGATCCTAATCCTACTCTTATACTTTCTAGTCTCAGGGTGTTTAACTAGTCTCTGCTAGGCTCAATAGATCTAGCGTATACTGGTTTGTTGCGGCTGCTGAAGTTCTCTTGGAGAGACAACTAATTTCTAAGTTAAATTCAAATTTCTCTGGTGCTGAAATTACTAGTAATTTCAGCACTTACAAATAAGTGGGTTGTTAGTTAGATGGATCATGATTGGTTAATATTTAATACTTTACAGTGGTAAAATATCTAATTTATCCAATCATAAAATATAATTTGGTTCAGGTTCCACCCATCCGGGTTTTACAGAGTTTTTTAGAATTATCTTTCTGCAATTCAAAGGATGGATGATAAACGTTGGTATTTGGCAAACATCGTATTCTTGTCCGGTTTCTCTTGTTAGAGAAGTTCCAGGATGCTGGAGATAGGGACATCAATCGTTGTGTTTTCTTGTGACAACGACTGTGTTTCCCAACGAAATCAATCTGATTTCAGAATGTTTTGCTATGACGGGTTTTTCTGTATTATGTAGAGAACTTGTTTTGTGTTCGACCTCGTCTGGGAATGGCGTGGAGATTGTGCGTGGAGGGGATGCCTTGTAACTCGGATCTGTACGTATACTTGAACATCGAGGTGGTCATTGGTCTAATTCAATGAAGTCCTTTTCTGCGAAGTCAAGTCGTACTCTAAATCCTTTGAGTTGTGATTGTGGACGGCATATTGGTTGTGGTTGGCCATTCTTTTTCGACTGTAGTGGGGTCATTTTGTCTTTGGATGTTCGTCTTTGTTGTTGTATGCTGATCTATATGCTGCAAAGTATGATTTACATTTTATAAAATTTTTATTAGTTCAGTGTTTTAATTATGATTTTGGTTAGTTGTTTTCACAAAAGCTTTTTGTTTTAGTTCGGTTATTTTGAAGAGTTACTCACCCTTGAGTACCTCTTATTAAAAATAGAAGTCTGGTCACAAAGCGTGGATGTAGCGCGGTGGGTTAGGCCGGCTATAGAGCATGCTCAGGACGTCCTCTCTGGTGGGTTAGGCCAGGAGTGGGAGTATGATTTCGTGCGGTTTCTGTGAGAGGTCCTGTTATGTGATAACGTTTTATGTTGGGTTTATGGTGGTCTTTCTTATGTTCCGCTGGTTGTGTCCTTTGTTCAAAAATCAAATTGTTTTTCTTATGGGTAGGTCTTTCGACTTTTTTGTGTTTTGTTATTTCTTTCTTAGACTTTATAATAGTCTTCAAAAGAATAAATTATCCAGTTTTAAACTGGGTTAATCCGGTTTGGGTACCGTTGGTTTTCTTTTCTTAGTCATGCTGTTATTTTATGATTTGTGGTGTTTAACGGGTTAAAGGGAAGTTTGAAACTTGTTATCTTGTGTTAGAGTTGTTGAGTGTGAAAACTTGAAACTGAAATTCATTATTTAAACAATTCTTCGTGGGCGAGCTGTACGAGTTTGGATAGAATTCCTGTGCGAGTGAATGAAAATATCAAAAGGTTAGTACTGCATTTTTATTTTATCAATTTACTACATAGAATTTTAATTTTACTGCTAGTTTTGGGGAAAAGTTAAGTTACAAATTTTCATCATTAATGAATTTACTGCTTTTGGGGAAACAATTTATAAATTAATTTACTACATTCGTATGAAAATCTATTATATTTATCTAGTGCAAAATATTAATAGAGTTTAGAAGAATTTTAACAAGTTTTTTATTTTTTATTTTTCTTTTCTGTTTTTTGCAGATGATCGTGGGATGAAGACTAAAAATCTAAATGAGACATGAGTAAAGAATGGTTAGTATTAATTTAAATTTATTAGTGAAGAATATGAATAAATTATACTTACCTGTTAGTCGTCGGGGAAAAAACCGTGGGGGAAGATGTCGTGTATCATGTCTGAATTTGTTAGTAATTTTGATAGTATGCGAATGATGTTTTTAGTTTGAATCAGTGGCCAAAGTAATTGAAGTGCTTTAATAGTTTTTAGTTCTTCGGTGCCAACTGCAAACTCATAAGGTGTGTTTTGAATGAGATTATATATTTTGTGATTGTATTTAGTATTATGGATGAATTCTAATATAGGGATTTCTATAGGTTGGATAAATTCATGTGGGATAAGGAAGGGTCTGGATTCTTCAGCATTAAAGGTCTTCGTGATGGGACAAAATATATACATTTGAGTTATTGGGTCATAATTGCGGAGGATGCCGTGGAGGTTAGTATCTTTGATGCAATATGTGAAATTTAGAAAAAATGGCGAAGTGTACTTCGAATTAAGAAACTGAAAACGGTGGTGTGTTTGTCTTGATGGAGTGTGTAGATCAAAATGATTTTGTATGAAGCGATAATATGTATATGTGTGGGTTTGTTTAGTGCGTAACATAATGTCGTGTGAGCAGTGCAAATCGCGTTCATGTGGTGCAAGGAAGTGGAAGGTTAGTGAAAATAATTGAAATTTTTCTTTAAAACTTTCGTAAGCTTGCATGTCAGTTAGTGCTTCAGAAATGATGTGATCATTTTTTCGATGAAATATATTGAGTGTGAATACATATGGTGTATTGATGAAAATTTTTTCTGTTAGTTGTGGGTTAGCGAAGCGGTCGTCATCTAAAAATTGGTCTTGATTAGTTCGGATGATATTATGGTCGTAATATTCTAGTGTAAATTCGTTAGCTCGGGGTGCAGTGAATGTTTTTAGTGATTTTTATATCCTATATAAGTAAATTGTCTATGTGTTAGTGGTGTGGTGAGTCGATATAGCATATCTTTATTCCTTTCTATATCGTTATGAGTATTAGATAACGGTAGGCAAAGGGGATTAGTAAAATGATAATATGTTGTCCAATGAAGTGTAGGCATTAAAACATGTTCATCTACAAAACTACGTGTGTCGTTAGTGTCGTGAGGGGTGTTTAAAGTATACTGTGGAAATGAAGGTAGGGTGATTGCTAGGAAATCTTTCGTGTTGGTGTGATGTGGATGATTAATATATTCACGGGCTGTTCCTGGTTTGGTCGGGAATGGATGGTTTGGGAATTTTCTTTTAAAAGTGCGATAAGCTCTATTAGTGCTATTTGATGATTCGGTGGATGTGGATGATTGTGCTAATGATGCAGTATAAGCTGAAGAGGGTGTAGGGGTAGGTGGGTTTGAGGAATCTATTGTGGAAGAAATCAGATTTATAGTGAGGGTGTTAGGGTGTAATAGTTGTTGTTGTAGGGTGATAAAATAATCGAGTTCTTGGGAGATTTGGGGAATATCTGGAGAATTGGATGATCGGTCTGAATGAAATGAAGAGTAGGTTGGGGTTACTTGTGAAGCATAAGAGGGGGTACAAATGGACGGGAGTGGGTTATTTGGTGGGATTGGTTGAAAAGGGGGTTTTGAAAAATGTGAGGAGTTGGTTTGAAAATTATTGGATGGAGATGGTTCGGAGTCTGCAAATTCATCAGGGGTTTCTATA